AGTTGGAACCAACTCAGTGACACACAAACATTACCACCACCAGGGTCTACTTGATATTCTTGAGGGTTTCCAAAGAACAAGCATTACTGCCGCCCACAACACTGGTGCGATTTTAAGTCAGAGAAGCTTGTACGTCTTAAAATCTGGGATTGGGATGTGCTTGTATATCCTGGGTGTCTTAGTTGAATCATATTTTTCTTGCTTAGTGGTCCTGAGCGTGGTACAGCATGTTGTTGTTGGTCTGTCCCGGTTTCCTAGGGTTGCCATCACAAAATGCCACCGAGTGGGTGACTTTTAAGAATGGGAATGTATTTACTCATGGTTCTGGACATTAGAGGTTCAAATTCAGGGCTTCAGCCGAGGTTATGGCTGTTGTCAAGTGCCATCAAGTCGGTTCTGACTTACAGCAACCCTGTACTGTGTTTCCAAAGAGCAGCTGGTGAGCTTGAACTGCCAACCTTGTGGTGCAAACTGACCGTGCGGTCCAGCTCATTTATCCTCAGCGGCACACCAGGACTCCTCAGCCAAGGTGGGAGTGGTTATTTTATGTGACCCTCAGGAAATGTCTGGTTCCTCGTGTTGGCCAGACTCCTGAACTTGAGGCCAGAGAAAAGAGGAAGTCTGGGGGATCAGGGCTGAACGTGCCTTCCTTGTCATGGGTGGGATGTGGCATGGCACCTCATCAGCACAGGGTACCCACACTGTGACATCCTTCCTCCCTTCCTGGCACGGGTCCATGCTACCTCACCTAATTCTCACACAATCCACTGAGCTTGATGTTATAATTATCCCCGTTTTACAGAATAGGAGGCTGAGGTGCTGGGCAGTCACCAAAAGACACACTGGGAGGGGCTCATCCAGGTTTCACTCTTAGGCACAGGGACCCCAGAGTCTGAGTTGCTCCCAGTTTTTACCTTCAGGGCAGTTCCGAAGCTTCCTTCATGCAGGTTCCTTGTTGACCCCTCTTACAGATGAGGAAACAGAGGCTCAGATGCGCTCACATATTAATTAATGACCCAATAGTTTTGAGGATTTGATTTCTTTCTCTCATCCCTGCCTCTCACTTTGTCTAATATCTTGGCCATGGAGCTTCAGGGCAGGTGGCGGGGTCCTGAGTGGGGAGGTGGTGGTACCACAGCCCATCCTGGTTCTAGACACCGTCTCGGTAGACACAGTGTGTGTATCTGCAGATTTCCTCAGGAATTCCCATGAATTAAACCAGAAGCCAGGCAGTTGAGGGAGAGTTGATGAAGGGCGTGGGGGTCTCTCAGGTCTTCTGTCAGGTTCCTCGTTCCCAGGCCTTGCCATCTGCTCCCTCACACTGCCCCCTCTTCTCCTGCCCACTCCCTGCCTCCCTTCTAGACCTGGTCACATCTGGTTACAAGCTAAGGCAGATATAGCTTTCAGGGAAACTGAGATTCCTCAGGCTGACCAGGCTTCCTCTGAAGCCACTTGGTCTTGGTTGGAAAGACTGAGTTCTGGGTCTTATAGTTGCAGCGGGAGCTCAGTGGGGGCACCTGGTTTTTCCAGATCCTGTACCCATATTCCGAGGCCCACACTAGAACAATCTGTCTGAGGGAGGAATCTGTATTTCTGTGTATTTTAAGTAGAAACTAGTAATTTTGTCACTAAGGAGAAAGAACCGCACAAGGACAAGATTCAGATAGATGACTGACTGCTCTCCTCTTTGTTCCCTTCTCCACCCAGACTCTTTCCCCAGAGGTAACAGCTGTTAATATTCATTTCTTAAGGATCAGAACTATATCAGAGACTGTACAGTATCATCCATGCCAGAGCGAAAGGCACCAGGATAGGCACAGCAGGGACGAGGGGATCTTGGTGAACTATACTGAGGAGCTATGGTAAAGTACTTGACAACTAACTGGAAGGTCAGAGTTTGAACCCACCAGCTGCTCCACAGGAGAAAGATGTGGCTGCCTACTTCTGTGTAAAGACTTACAGCCTTGGAAACCCCACGAGGCAGTTCTACTCTTCCAGTAGGATCGCTAGGGGTCAGAAGCCACATAAAGGGTGACTGTAGGTTGGTTTGTTTGCTTTGTGCTGAGGAGGTGGTGGTGGGCAGGCAGAGGATGTCCTGACTTCCTTTCCAGAATCCAGCTTTGCAAAGCTCTTGAGTGACACTGAAGGAGCTGGTCTGTAAGCTGTGACTTGGAACCTTGGGTAAAGCCACAAGTCCTCTATTCTCCCTTCCTCCAAGGGCACTGGGCTCGATGCCGGGAGGGCCTTCCTGGTAGACAGGACTTCATCCATGATGCAGATGCCAGGACAGGAAGTCAGGCACTGGTCAGGGCTTCAGGAGTTCCTGCAAGTGTGTTGCTTGGGTCAGGCTTCAGGGAAGGAAGAGTCTCAGTGGGTTGGGAAGGTCCAGGCAGAGAGTAGCTGAATAAGTGGATACTTGTGGAGACCGGAGTACAAAGGGACGAGCCCAGACCTCCTCAGAGCCGCCTTCCAGGACTATGATCACGACAACGAGGCCATGGCAGTTTTGAAGCTGGTGGAGCACCCTAAAAGTAACCCACTTGTTCCTCTCCTGGAGGAAGTGGTGGGTGCCATAGTGGAAGTCTCAGCCTTCCTCTGTGACCGGTCTCATCACTTAAGGACTCTTGCCTTCGGGTATGGAGGCTGCAGATGAGGAACGACCCTCACTTGGGCTCCTGGGATGAACTGATGCATGTCTCTCTTAAACCTTCGGTTAACCCCAGAGTCTTTGTCCCTTGAGAACATTCTCCAGACACCCAGAACCATCCCTTTCATCTTTTCTTGTCCCCACACCAACCTGTCAAGGTGCTTTCTCTCCCTGCCCCACCACTCCCCTTCTCATATATTCCGGGGGCTGCCCAAAGGTGGGACCACACCTGCCTTGCTCATTACCATACCCCAGGTATTCAGAGCAGGCTTTCGAGAAATATTCTGCTGACGTAACGAAAGACCAGGGAGATGAAGAGAATCCTGTCAACCACACCCTTGGAATCTTGTCTCTGCCCAGCCCAGGTCCCATACCCCTTTGTCCACATCGCTGTGGCCATGACACCAAAACACTGCACTTACATGAATGCCTAGCGAGTCACTTCCACATCTCAGGCTTCAGCTGCCCTCTCTGCACAGCAGAGACAATAATGTGACAGTAATATCCACTTCATTGGGCGCACATGACAGCAAATGTGACCAGTCATCCAGAGGCTAGAAGAACCATGCAATTCAATTCAGTCTGACAATCTGGGTTCCCGCTCAGCAACTGAGCTCTCGTTACTGGGGACCCAGAGTGGACGAGACAGTAGTACTTCCTGTCTTTAGGGGTGATGGATCCTCTCTGCAGGGAGTTTAAAAAATGGTGACTGAGAAATGAAGTCTTGATACATGCTGCAACATCTGGATGAGCCTAGACGACATCCTGATGAATGAAAGAAGGCAGTTGAAATACTGGATGATCTCACTTATATACAGTAAGCATCTATATAGAAACCAAAGACTATTAGTAGCTACGAGGAGTGGAGTCCTGGTCTGGCTCTGCAGGTTAATGTGCTGGACTGCAAGGCTGATTTGAATGGCAAGGTCGGTGGTTCAAGCTCACCAGCCGCTCTTCCGAAACCCTATACAGGGTCGCTATGAGTTGAAACCAACTCGATGGCACCTAACAACAACAACAACAACAACCAGGGATAGGAAGGAGGGCACAAGGGGGAATTTTTGCACAGGACACATGGAGTTTCTGTACATGGTGGTAGAATGAATTGGAAAAACTTAGCAACAAATGTCGCACAACATGAAGAATGCACCTAATCAATGTCACTGAACTGTGTATGTGGAAATTGTTGAGCTGGTGAAGGTTTTGTTATATTTTCACATATGTTGGTATAGATGCTACCAAGGGATCGTACTAGCAGCTCTGGGGAGGGATAGCTGAACTTTAGCTTTTCCTCCCAGGTCAGTTAAAAGTCTCCCGTAGAGACAGCATGTACAAAGGGAAGTGGGTGATGAGGAGGAGTTAGCCAGACAAAGATTGGGAGAAGAATTCATGGTGGCTCGAAGTCATGGTCTGTGCAAGAAATAAGAGGAAGGAGGAAGTCAGAGCTGAGGCCAAGAGCCTAGATGGACTCCACCTGAGGCCACTGTATTAGTTAGCAGAGATTTGTTTCAAATTCTGTAGTTCATTTCTCTCACTTGTTTAGGAAGAAGTCTGGAGGTGGTAATCTAGGGTTGGTGTAGGTTCATAGTGTCGGGGACCCAGGTTCCTTCTACTTATTTCTCTGCCATTTATGACTTCTATGCCCAACATCATTCCTGCTCCAAGAAGGCTACTGAAGCCCTTGGACCACATCCAGCAAACAGGAAAGAAGAAGGGATGAAGATGTCTTCTCCACTAAGACAGCTGCAGGCACTAATTCTACTTAAGTCCTATTGGACAGATTTTAACCACGTGGTCACACTTAGCTGTAAGGGAAGCAGGAAAGTGTCTTTATCCCAGAACGCCATACACCAGCTAAGATTTCAGTTGGTGAAGGAGGGCCACTTTAGGATGGGCTATCTTGAGATGAACCAGGGAACATGTCTTAGTCAATAAGGGCTTCCAATTCATCCCTTACAGAGCCATTCTCTCTCTTACCAAAGTGGTTCATCCTCTCCTTCATGGACACACCATTCGTCACTGGGGCAGTGGGGATTTACTCTTGCTGCTTGGAAGAGAAGAGGGGGCAATGTTTTTGTGGCTCACCATTGAGGAACACAAAGAGTGTTCCCCTATGGTCAATGAACTGAATTGGGGATCAGGGCCACTGGAAAAAACATTATTACTGCATTTTGAGGGCTAACCTGGGAATCCTGGGCTCCTAAGGAAAATGTGATTGGAATTGCAAACACCTCATTTACAAACAAACGTTTAAGACCCAGGTTGCTTGTGTCCTTTTTGCAAAGACATTTCCATGGCAACCTGTGTGCCAGCCTGCCCTCTTCTCTTCTCCCCTCCTCTCTTCTCTTGGCAGCTCAAGCACCAGGCAAAAGACTTCTGCATTAGCGAAGTCTCGGAGTTTGCACGGGGCCAGGAGGTGGAGGTGTCCCTAAGGGCTGCCTCCACCATCTGTCTTTCCCAGGCCAATATGCCTGGGGGATGCGGTGGGAGTGTGGGGTTCTCTCTGAGGTTGAGTCTTCAGAGGGAGTCACAGGCCTGACTTGCAGTGGCAGGCTGGTCCCCAGGTGCCAAGGCTGGGTGGGAGCTGAATGCCATCTACAATAGGGGTGTTGAAGTGGCTCTTGGGGACTCTGGGGACTAAGATCTTTGGATGAAGAAGGGATAAGGAAGAGGACTTCATCCCCATCACAGGATTCCATATGACGTTTCATTTAAGAAAGTTCTTGAAGATTCCACAAAACCCTCTATGAACAGCTGTGGGGGAACAGGCACAGAGGGGGAAAGTGACTTGCTCATGATCACAGAGCTGGGCTGTGAACCCCTTTCTCCGGGTGCTCAGTGTGAAGGGTTTGGTGCCTCATCTGCTGCCCTCCGTCCTCTTCCCGCTGAGGGTATGAGGCCATCAGCTGTTGATCTTAGAGTACTTGTATGCTCTTAGCTGGGCTCCCTATGGGAAAACAAAAGCCAAAAACTGAGCCCTCCTCCCTGTGGCCTTGTTTCTAAAAAGAAAAAACGAACTTGATTGTATTTGCTATATTTTGGTTTAGGTGCCATGGAGTCAATTTTCAGTTCATTGTGACGCCATGTAACAGAGTAGACGTGCCCCATAGGGTTTACTAGGCTTCAATGTTTACATGAGCAGATCACAAGGTCTGTCTCTTGAGAAGCCATTGAGTGGATTTGAACCACCAACCTTTTGGCTAGCAGTCTTGTGCTTACCCTTTATGCCACCAGAGCACCTGTATACACTATGACGTTAATCTGTATTTTGTGTCTAGGTAAGGTTTCCACATAATAGAATGTCCCCAGGGTAGGATGGAAGCTGCGCAGAGGGAGGGACAAGGCCTCTTCCTCCCCAACTTCCTCTGGACCCTCTCAAAGCCTGTCACCCTCCATCCAAGTGGCCTCCTTGACCCCTGTTAACATGGAATCTTATGTTTATTAATTATACATGGTGATGGAAGAACAGAGCAAGCACACAGTCTAAGGAAAAGCCTGCCTCACTGAGCTGGTCCGGTGCTGCCTAGGGGTGAAGTCCCACCCCCAGCCCCCCACTAGGTGTGACCTAGAAGGTTCTGGTTACCCTTCACCTCCACTTCTGCTGGCTGTGTGCTCTCGGGTGAATCTCTGGCCTTTCCCTGACCTTTGTCTCCTGCACTATATAATAAGGAGTCTGAGAGATATGCTCTCAGAAGATCATTTTAGCTCAAATTTCCATGATCCTATTATCTACTTCATGCTCTGTCTCCTCGCTTAAAGAAATTAAGAATCTCAAAGGCATTTTCAGATTGCAGCAAAATGGAGTCTGGATGTAGCTGTAGTTAGCCTGCCAAAGGCACACTCAAGCCCCACCCCAATGACATGTGGAGAGTGACCAGGGACTCAGGCTTGGGGGCTGGTCCAACGGGACAGGAGGAGAAGGTGCAATGGCTTCCCCTTCCAAGGCCAGCTTTTTCTTCACCAGGCCGGAAGGTGGACCCCACCAGGCTATTGGGGAGGCCAGGTTTGACCAGAGTTGAATCCCTCAGGTTATTTGAGAAAGCTGTGTTCTACCCGACATTCCTTGGAGTCCTGGTGTGGCACTGTAGAATAAGCACTGGACTGCTAACCACAAGGCTGGAGGTTCAAACCCACCAGCCGCTCCTAGAAACCCTGTACAGGGTTGCTGTGAGTAGGAACTGACTTGATGGCACTTAACAACATAGGTTGACTGGCTTAAAGCATGAGTCCCCCAGGGCACATCTAAAAGGATTAACCAACTGTGGCCAGGGTGTTTGCCTTAGAGGGGTGGTGGAAAGGTCAGACAGCAGAGGCCCAGGGATGGCTGCACTCATTGGGAATGCCTGGAATTCCATCTTGGATAATCATCCTCCTGATGCATTTTCTATTCTTGAAAAGTAGGACCAGAAGTGTCAAAACATCAAAGTAGATGGTGGAAGGGCTAGACCTCACTCATTCGGACTTCAAGTTTTGGTATTTGTAGACACAGGGTAACTTGGCCTCGGCCTAGGAAATTTTGGGAACCTGTGTTGGTGAACAAACAAATGTGAGCTTGCAAGAATCACACCAAGTTCAAATTTGCTGAAGTATTATTGCTAGGTGCCCTGGAGTCGGCTTCTACTCATAGCTCCCTATGCACAACAGACTGAAACACTACCCTGTCCTTCCTCATCCTCAAACTGTTACATTTTAGCCCATTTGTGATGCCACTGTGTCAGTTAATCTTGCTGTGGGGGGGGGGGGTCTTCCTTTTTTTTTTACTGACCCTGCACTTTACCAAGCATCCTTCTCTAGGGATTGGTCCCTCCTGATAAGGTCTGAAGTATGACACATGTCTCCCCTTCTTGGCTTCTAAGAAGCACTCTGGCTGCACTTTTTCCAATACAGATTTCTTTGTTCTTCTGGCAGTCCATGGTACTTTTAATGTTCTACAACACCATAAATAAAATGCATCAGTTCTTCTACAATCTTCCTTATTCATTGTCCAATTTTCACATGTATATGAGGCTATTGAATACACCATGGTTTGGGTCTGGTGTGCCCTAGTCCACAAACTGGTATCTTTGCTCTTCAACTCTTTAAAGAGGTGCATTAAATTTGCTTAATGCAATACGTTGTTTGATTTCTTGACTGCTGTTTTCATAAGTGTTGATTGTAGATCCAAGCAAAATGAAGTCTTTGACAACTTCAATCTTTTCTCCAGTTATCATGTTGTTATTTAGTGATCCAGTGGTAAGGATCTTTTGTTTTCTTTACATTGAGGTGCAGTCCATACTGAAAGCTGGAGTCTTTTATCTTCATCAGTAAGTATTTTAAGTTCTCTTGGCTTCTATCAAGCAAGGTTGTATCATCTGCATATTGCATGTTGTTCACGAGTCTTCCTGTAATCCTGATGCCACGTTTTTCTTCATATAATCCAACTTCTCAGATTATTTTCTCTGGATACACATTGAATAAGTATGATGAAAGGATACAACCCTGGCACTCACCTTTCCTGATTCTAAACCATTCACTGTTCTTTTGTACTGTTCTAACAACTGCCTCTTGGTCTGTGTACAAGTTTCTCATGAACACAGTCAAGTGCTTGGGAACACCCATTCTTCACAAAGTCATACATAGCATGTCATGATCCACACAGTTGAAAGCCTGCACAAGTAAATGTCTTTCTGGTATTCTCTGCTTTCAGCCCAGATCTAGCTGAAGTCAGCAATGAAACCTCTAGTTTCACATCCTCTTCTGAATCTGGCTTGAATTTCTGACAGTTCCCTATCGATATACCCATGCAACAATTTTAAAATCATCTCCAGCAAAATTTTGCTTGCATGTCATATTATTGATGTTGTTCAAAGATTTTCTCATTCCGTTGGGTCACCTCTCTTTGGAATGGGCACAGATATGTTGTTGCTGTTGTTAAGTGCTGTCTAGTTGGTTCCAACCCATAGTGACCCTGCTTGAACCACCGACCTTGCAGTTCAAACGACTTTGAAGACTGGCGCATTAATCCACAGCGCCACACCAGGACAGATATGGATCTCTTCTAATTGGTTGGCCAGGTAGCTGTCTTCCAAATTTCTTGGCCTGTATGAGTGAGAGCCTCCAGCGTTGCATCAGTTTGTTAGAAGATTCCAATTTGTGTTCCATCAATTCCTGTAGTCTTGTTTTTTGTCAATATCTTCAGTGCTTGGACTTCTCCCTTTAGTACCATCAGTTCTTGATTTATGCTACCTCTTGAAATGCTTGAACATCGACCATTTCTTTTTGGTGTAGTGACTCTGTGTATTCCTTCCATGTTCTTGTGATGCTTTCTGCATTATTCAATTTTGTGCCCATAGAATCCTTCAATATTGAAATCCAAGTCTTGGCTATTTTCTTCAGTTCTTTCAGCTTGAGAAATGCAGAGCATCTTCTTCCCTTTTCGTTTTCTAACTCCAGGTCTTTGCATATATCATTATAATACTTCACTTTGTCTTCTCGAGCTGCCCTTTGAAATTTTCTGTTCAGTTCTTTAATTCCTCATTTCTTCTATACGTTTTAGGCGTCTATGTGTTCAAAAGCAAGTTTCAGTGTACCTTCTGACATCTGTTTTGGTCATTTCTTTCTTTCCTGTCTTTTTAATGACCTTTTGCTTTCTTTTTGTACAATGTTATTGATTTCGTTCCACAACTCTTCTGGTCTTTGATCATTAGTGTCTAATGCCTCAAAGCTGTTCTTGAGATGGTCTCTAAATTCAGCATCTATTCAAGGTCATGTTTTTGCTCTTGTTGACTTATTTTAATTTTCTTCAGCTTCAACCTGAACTTGCATATGAGCAACTGATGGTCTGTTTCGTTTCGGCTGATGATATTGAGCTTTTCCACCGTCTCTTCCCATAGATATAGTCAGTTTGATGATTCCTGTGTAGTCTGTCTGGTAAGCCCAAGTGTATAATCATCTTTTATGTTGTTTAAAAAAGGTATTTGCAACGAAGAAATCATTGGTCTTGCAAAATTCTATCATGCAATCTCCAACATCATTTCTATCACCAAGGCCATATTTTCCAACTACTGATCCTTCTTTGTTTCCAACTTTTTCATTCCAATCACCAGTAACTATCAATGCATCTTGATTGCATGTTTAATCAACTTTAGACTGAAGAAGTTTTTAGAATTCTTCAATTTTATCATCACTGGCTTTAGTGGTTGGTGTGTAAATCTGAATAATAGTTGTATTAACTGGTCTTCCTTTGAAGGGTATGGATATTATCCTATCACAGACAGCCCTGTACTTAAATTAGATATTGAAATGTTCTTTTTGATGATGACAGCAACTCCATACCTCTTGAATTTGTCATGCCTGGCACTGGGAACCATATGACTGCCAAATTTAAAAAATGACCAATGCCAGTTTATTTCAGATCACTAAGCCTAAGATATCTATCTTTATATATTCCATTTCATTATGACAACTTCCAGTTGTCCTAGATTCATATTTTGTACATTCTATG